GGCGCCCGCTGCCCCGGACTCTTCACTCCCTGTGGTAGCTCCTGCAGCACTCCCCGTCGTCGCTGAATCCGCGGAGATGGCTCCTGCTGCTCCTCCTGCCCCAGCTGGTGGTCCACCACCACTCACCGAAGATTCGCTGCGCGCCCTGCTGGCTGAAAGTACGGAGGCATCGGTCGATCACATGATGACCTCGATAATCCCGTACTTGACTGTAATGGCTCGTCACCAAGTGCAGCTCAGCGTTGCGCCTCCTCTCCACGGCGATATACACACTCAGCGTCGCCTCGAGACTGCTGTTGGTTTCGATGATGTCCTCACTGCGTGTTCCACGACGTTCTCCAGCATCTCAGCCAACTGTTGAGGTATCCCGCGTGACTTCGTTTTCAGTGGTCGCTCTCCGGTCGGCATTCATGTTTTCTTATTCTTAATTCACCTCCACAGCGTAATCATGTTCATGTTGTTCTTCAAATGCATATACAATTTGTAGTTGCAGTAACGTTCTTCGTCTGTTACCACAGGCTGCATCGCCCTGTGGACAGTTCACACGTGATCCAGTCACGCTAGCCTTCGTCCGCCACTTGCGCCATCTGCAGCCAATTCTCGCTCTTCTTGGCTCGCAAAGAGTCGTACAGCAGACCTCCACAAGACAAGTTTGATGATGGTTCCCAAGTTGTATCTTCATAGCCCACCCACTTGACTTTGAACTCGCGTACAGCACGCTCCGTGCTCGTCGTCAGTGGTGTTCTGTCGTCGAGGATGGCCTCGACTTCATATTCACCGGCAACTTGATCTGGTTCCCAGCTGTCCTCAGGCAACAGTTCCTCATCGAAGTCGAGTCTTGCTTCATTAGTCGCGTCTAGTACCAACCGAGTGTTCGGTCGACTGTTGAATTCGTTGACAGCCTTGAGTCTTGACACATGCACTACTGGGTAAAAGCGATACCTACTTCGATCAGGCAGTTCCAGCTCGTACGCAAACTCTTCCACCTTGCGTTTGATCCGAAAAGGTCCATGCCATCGGTGAACTAATTTC